CCGTGTATTTTTCGAAGCTGTAGGTGAAAAGAACTAAATTACTATAAAATTAAACTCGGTTCATAAAGATAGAATACAAAGTGCAAGAGTTAATTTGTTGTTTTAAAATGTATCGTATTTACTCTGGCCTGGTGGTTAAGACACTCGACTCGATATCTGCGGGTTCGCCCTTTTAGGCGTGGTGGCGTAATAAAGTGTCGGTCAATCCCACTACTTGTTGGTATCGGCAGCCTAAGAGCTGTCGATGAGTGGTGTTGACTAGCCGTCTTCCCTCTTGCCAATGACTCCAAAATAGCCCTGGAGTATTCAACAAACAGACGTCATATTCAATAACGCACTCATCTTTTTTTTACTTACTTACTGGCTCAATATTCCACAAGGTTCTTTAATCTTTCTATATGGCCAGGTATAACATAATATGGCCTTTAGTTAGTGTTTAAATTTAAATACTATACTGCTGTAATTGGTTTTTAATTGTGTATTGTAAGGCGTTTTCAACTATAATCACACCTTACATTCAGATATGTATTCAATTACAAAAGCTGTTGGCGGGCTATCGAACATAGCAACAAACAGGTGAACAGAACTGTAGTAAACATTCGTTACGTTTCAGTCGAGAAACGCTTTAAACTATCAGTTATTCGCGCACGTGTTTATGTACTTCTCTTTAATTAAGGCAATTGAAAATAGGTTCTTTACCTTCTTAATGTTTAAGGTATTATGTGTACATCTAAATGGTTATAGTACATTATTTCAAACGGAGTAGAAGCATGAAGTAACGTTGTATTTAAGTTCATAGTAAGAAGGAAGTGATACAAAAATTATGAAAAATGAGAACATTAAGTTAATGTATTCGTTCACTTGCTTCCGAAAAGCATTTACTGAATGTGTTCTCTTTTACAAGATGTGTGTAGCTGTCAGTCATTATGTTCCTTTACTATAACGTTCACTGCATGCTGTTCCTTGTGAGTTTATAGAGGTACCTATGTTATGTTGTTGTTCTTGTTTTTCTTTTCATTGTCTTTGTACAAATGAGTAGATACTGAATGTCTATATAAGGAAAACAATATGCCATAAATTATTAATATATTGGAACATTTCATTGAAGATACGTGTTTGGCTAGCTTCAGCATTCTCCAACCAATGAAAAAAAAACTTTTTATCAAGGATTTAAAAAAAAAGAAACGCAGAAATCACAAAAGTGGTGCCACTTGGTGTATACATTGCAGATATAATGACCTGCATACACTTTTCCTTATGGGTAATATAATTCGTTGTATACGAGTATATAATGATTATGCCGTTTTTTCATAAAGAGCAAAACTGTTCGTTTGCCCTCCCCCTGCTTGCCCCCAGTGGCACAGCGGTATGTCTGCGGACTTACAACTCTAGAATCCGGGTTTCGATACCCGTGGTGAGAAGAGCACTAATAGCCCATTGTCTAGCTTTGTGCTTAATTACAAACAAACAAACAAGCCCCCTGCCTCTTGACTGTTTCGATTTTCGGTCGAAATCGAAACGGTTTAAGAAACCTATCGTGCTTTACTTCTCTCCTTTTGAGTAAGGTACGGAACCATGAGTATGCTTCATTATTTTCCTCTCTCTCTCTCATCTTGTGGAAATGGTTCTCTAATTATTGAAATAGGAGACGTTTTCTGTGGCTCATTCTCTGTCTTCCCCCCCCCCAAAAAAAACATTTTTTGAAATGTAAATTCCAGAGGATTGAGTACGTTATTTTGTATACGATTTTGAATCTGAAAATCAGCAACAAAAGTTATACACGTAGTATAAATTTGCGGTGGAAAGGCATGTATCAGAATTACATTTGGAAATTCTTTAGCGTTTCGTACATGGACGATGTGATGCCCTCGAAAAGTAATTCCTTTTTGCATGGGTATGTAAAACATTTATACACTCTGGTTATGTAGGTGTACTCGGGTCGTGGATTAAGAATATCCAAGACAGGATATCCCTTGTACTTAATTGAATTGGAAACAAAGAAATGTGTTAAACTTGTGGTACCAACACTATCCAGAAAGATATCTGCAAAAAGTCGTACCACAGCCATGGTAAGCAAAATAAGGCATCGTTTGGATCCACGAACACAAAAGCAAAAAACCATCCAAGTGTGCCCCAGGCAACAGTACTCAACAGGATCTCCTCAGGAAAACCGACACAAGTCACGTTTACACAAGCTGCTTCCACGACATATTTGCTCAACTGTCGCATACCTCAATCAGCTAAAGAATAAAACCGGTATTCATGCTATTCCATACGAAGACGTGTCGGTAAAGGCACGAGACACAGTATTTATGGACTTCTGTGCGATCGGACTGTTGAGATGAGCACTTGGAAACTGTTGACTTTGTACATTATATTAAGATTATGAAAAGCATTAATGCAGGAGGGGTGGTGTGCTTTAGACATGACAACCTTACTACAAAACATTTTGTAATGACATACACTACAGGATCATCAGACAGAGTATAATTAAAGGTGGCGACATGGACTGTAACGACGTGGTGAGGCTCCAAAATCTTTTTTTTTTTTAGTTTAACGTTCTCAACTTGTGTATTATTGCTTATTGGACGCAGTTAACGTTTTGAACGATTATTTTGTGATAGATTTTGTTTTCTGTCTCTTCCATTTTATGCGTTTTTCAACCAAAGGATCAAAACACAAACTACCAACGTACGAGTGGGATTAAAATCATGTGACCCTGTAATATGCAAGAGTGACATAATTGGTGAACTTGTTAAAGCAACTAGAAAATAGTACTAATTTTAGCTAAAATCTTTGCAACTGTGTGATAATAGAAATTCTACTTTTGATACCAGCTACAATTGTTTTGAAGGAAAAGCATTAGTAAAACGTCGAGGTTGTATAATGACTAAAAACGTATACACACTATGGGGTAATATTTAGTGATTATGTGCAGTTAATAATATAATACTTCGTAGTTCCCTCCGATCACAGTAACTATGTTTTTGCAATCATAACAACAATATCTAGAATGAACTTTTAACCACATTTTTATATACCTGTTCAACACAAGTTATAAGTAATGTGAAAACATTTTTCAATATCTGTTTACTATAAGACACTTAAAGAAACAGAAGCTGTTTAATAAGCTCTGTGTGCGTTATAGGAGTTACAAACAATCCCGTATTCGGGTCAAAGACCGACAAAGTTTTCATGTGATGGTGCATGCTGCTGAATGTCTGTATTCCTTTTGTTCAGGAGTTGAAAATTAGAGACAGCTATACCTGAACCCCAAAGAGCCCTAAACCGATGACCAATATTTTTTCTGGTGCCTCTATTAATAGTAGATAAGTGTTGGGTGGTCAGTATACACACGGTAACTGTTTGGTTTGTTTGGAAGTTCGCGCAAAGCTACTCGGTGACTAACTCTGCTAGCCGTCTCTAACTTAGAAGTGATAGACTAGAAGAAAGGTAGCTAGTCAGCAACAATCAGCACCACCCACCGCCAACTCTTGGGCTACTCTTTTACCAACGAATAATGGGATTGAATGTCACGTTATAACGCCCTCACGGCTGAAAAGGCGATCATGTGTGATGAAGGGAATTCGAACCTTCAACTCTCAGATTGCTAATCAAGCGCCCTAACCACTAGGCCATGCTAAGCCCGGTGATTGTCAGTGGTAATACATGGTGTCCATAAATCAATGAACCACTTCGTTAATTTGGTATAAAGACAAATGGGGAAATAGAGACAATTGCAATTTGCTTTATAATATATGCTAACACCTCAGGTCTGTCATTGACCAGTGACGCTCTTAATACCTCTCTATATGGTCCTCCGCTTGTAGCTCAATGATGTAGTCCAACAGTTGGCGGTGGATGATATTAACTAGCTACCTTCCCTTTAGTCTATTACTTTAAGATTAGAGACGTCTTCAGATAGCCCTTATGTATCCTTGCGCGAAATACAGCGTGGTTTTTGCTTTCGGATAGAAAAAGCAGATTTTAGGCCCAATAGACCTTTTCGCAAATAAAGGAGTTCGGTGTATATCACAAACTGGTGAAAGAGCTTGAACTTCACCATAACACGCTTCAAAAAATGTTTTGTTTTCTTTTGTTTTTTGTTACTCCCAAGGAATAGTTCAATGAACTGTAAGACTTAATATATAATCACCTTGCAAACAAAACGGAAACAGCCGATTAGGTCCCATGAGAGATACCAACTCACGTGAGAAATCAATTTTTTGCCTCGGCCAACGTGAGAAATTAGCTCTATATCTCAGGGGAATGATAAGTCACACATCTTTTATTTTGTCTTTTAAGGGATTGAAATTCCAAGGTCCACTTCTAATTGGTTTGAGACACAGCAGCAAAATATCGCAGCGACAAATTAATCGTTCGTCGGATGATATCATGCTGCTCCAAAACAATTTCGCCGAGATATTTTTCCGTTACAGTGTTATTATTATTTTATTCGTTTTTTATCAATGAGAATATAAACAGGCAGCGAGCGATATGCGCCGCGAAATATCGCATGTGTCGCGCGAAATCGTTCTGCTCAAGTGTGTCCTATAGGCTTTACCGTCCAATATAGGCGGAAATCGTCCACCCTAGACTGTAAGCCTGTCAGGAAATTGTCGAAATCATTAAAAGCTGTGAATATTTAGTAACAATTGTTACGTAATAATTAAAATGTGTAAAATAATAAAAAAAAAACCTATAACCCGAGCGCTTTCGAAAAGTGGACCTTTCTTCTTGAGGGGCAAACTGGGAATGGTGGTGTAATGGAATGAATGATATGTAAAGGGAGTTGAGTGACGTCATGGAAGTCATCTGGTCTTCCCGGAAACGTTTAATATATTTTTCCATGTACTGTTGTAAGTGTATTTCATTTCGGTACAATTTAACGTGTGTACATACTGAATGACATTTCAAAGGTACAGAATGAATACCAAAAGGCGTATTTCTTGGATACTCTCATATCTTATTCTTCTGTTTTATATCTGCTGATGATTCAGGTATCACGACGAGGACCATGCTAATCTTCTGAATACCATGTGGCTCACCGCCATCACATTTCTGTCTGTCGGCTATGGCGACATCGTTCCCAACACATACTGTGGCCGCGGGATTTCCGTCACCATGGGTCTCATGGTAAATATTACTTTTATCGAGTTATTGAAAGATAAAAAAACGCTAACAGAACGAACCCATTAGCAGTTACTATTCAGCGCTCTTGTTTAAAATAAATATTCATTGCTAGATATTATTATGTTAAAATCGCCAAAAACAATTTATAGCAGGTTGTGCATCTTTAAATCTTCCGAAACGGCCTCGGTGAAAAAAAAAAACACACTTAAAAACACATTCAAGTGTAGAAGATTTATAGATTAATGTATCTATGAATTCATTAAATCGAAATGACTCTTAGTATTAGTAAATCATGTCAAAATTAAATATCTAAACTGTACGATCTGACGAACAACGCTAGGTCGAAACGTCATCCTTCTTTAAATAAAAACATAAAAAAAATAATTGGCGATTTTTCACCCTCTTATTTAATTTTGATATCTTTGTCGCCTGTGGGGTTTTAACTACCGTATTTTTCGGTGTATAAGACGCGCTTTTTACCCCAAAATTTGATGTCAAAATCTGCTTGCGTCATATACACCGAAGGT